GACAAAGACCAAGCTTTTCCCTTTTTTCACCCCCCATTTAAAACTTCCAATTCTCTGTGTCCCCCAAAAAAATCCAAGTTACTGTACCAACTATTAACCTGCTGTCTCCCAAAAGTGTAGAGTAGTGTAAGTTAGCTGACAGTGCTCAATAAATAGGAGAATGAAGAGTCATTCACTTAAGAAAAGTTTATTAGGCACCCGTTCCCACCCAAGTGGTTAAAATCAGAGCAAGGCACTGTCTGCCTTTTAATGCACCAGATGGAGCACTGCACCACAAACAAATGGCTGGAGTATAGGACTAAAAACAAAAGGCACACAAGCGGGTAAGGAATGTGCTAGAAGTTCAGAGAAAGAGGGCTGGGCTTGGCTTTTCTGGGGACCAGTCCAGCTTGCTACCATCTTGCAGTTCACCAGGGACTATTCCAGAAGGGTCGCCCCTAGGTTCCCTGAGACCAATGGATCCTACACTCTATCCCAAGGCCTGAGAAGCTACTTGTGCAAAGATAGAACCTCCAGCCTCTTTCACGCCAGGCACGAGCTTTAAAGTGAAAAAAAAAAAAAAAGCCTCTGGCCTCAGTGTAAGACAGCCACTAGACTGCCCAGGTTGTCCTTGAACTCCTGGGCTCAAGTGATCCCTCTGTCAGCCTCCTGAGTAGCTGTGACTACAGGCACACTCCACTGTGCCTGGCTAATATCTATTATGCCACATGTAAACTGTATACATACTATTGTTCTCATGTATATTAGAAGATCCTAAAGATACTTGAAAAATAAGCTGAACCTTAAGCAGCTTATTTGATAGTACAAAATGTGCTCTTAGTAAAAGCAACTGTTGCTAATACTTTCAGGTAATGTGACTGAATATATTATCATTTTGGAAAACACTGCCATACTGCTTTGCGAATCAGCAATGCAATCTGTAAGTCCACCCCGCCAGTTCCCTGTAGGTTTCACAACCATGCAGGTGACGAGCTGCACCCTACATCTTTTTCAGTCTCTTCCATTAAAGCACACAAATGTTCGTAGAAACTCAGCTAATAAATTCCTGTCTCCTGATGTAAAGAACAAAAGCACACAAGTTACCTGCCTGCCGAGAGGCTTTGGATGTGTATATCCATTTGATGTGAAGAGTTAGGCTTAAGTCTTGGATATAGTTCTCACTGAAAAAGCAAAATGCTTTTTCCTTTCCCGTTCCCCCCCACCCAGTGCTAGGGATCAAATCCAGGGCCTTGTGCATGCCAGGCAAGTGGTGTACCACTGAGCTATGTCCCCAGTGCATCAAAGTGCTGTTTGAATGCATACTATGACAATTTTTGTTTGGGATTTAAAAAATATGGTAAGATATTCAAACAGTATCCAAAGCAGGGACTTTTAGCCTGGGGTTCCTGGATAGAATTCAGGTGTCTGAATTATGATGGGAAAATGTTACATCTTTTCCTCTACTACCCTGTATCTAGAATTTAGTTTGTCCTTTCCTTATGAATATAGGCAACAAACTGCAGGGGTACTAGCACTGCCTGTGATTTTGTCACTAATAGAAATCATAGATTTCATAATTTTTGCAGATATCTCAAAATAACCGTTATCATTCATGTCTGTGGTGGTAGAGCATGTGCTTGTTAGCATGTATGAAGCCTGGGGTTTGATCCCCAGCACCAATTTCAGACCTACAACTAGATATTACCTATAACTAGATATTATACACATATGTATTACAATTTAAAAACTTCGGTGAGACTGGGTTTTGAATTCAGGGCTTTGCACTTGTAAAGCAGACATTCTACTGCTTGAGCCACACCTCCATTCCATTTTGCTTTGTTTTTGTTATTTTGTTTTGAGATAGGTCTCACAAACTGTTTGTGCGGGCTGGCCTAGATCTTCCTGATCTAAGCCTCCCAAGTAGCTAGGATTATAGGTATGAGCCACTAGTGCCTGGCTCAATTTAAAAACTTTTAATTACTGTATTTCAATAGTGTTGGTAGCCTTTGCAACCCTATATATTTTGTTTTGTGCATTTAATCAATTCTGAGAAGGGCTCCATGCCACAAAAAGTTCAGATCCTAATCTAGCTTGGGGAGTGACCCAAGTGGTAGAGTGCCTGCCTAGCAAGTGTGAAGCCCTGAGTTAAAGCCCCAGTACCGCCAAAAAAAGGACCCAGATTTAAGGGTATGAGGTCAAAATTCTGTTACCTGCCGGTCCCCGTTGTAGATGCCATTCCAAGTCTCACAGTCACGTGTGCATGTGTACACTTTCTTTGTGGTGCTAGGGATGAAATTCAGGGCCCTGTGCATGCTAGGCAAGTGCTCTACCACCGGGCTACACACCCAGCTCTGTGTTTCTGTTTCTACTCAAATGATAGTGTACAGTGTACAGTTCTCCTCTGTTGTGAGGATGAACCATAATTTATCTATTGATGAACATTCGTTTTACTTCCAAATAATGCTGTAATGATTACCCTTACCTTTTATATGTGAATATATCTACAGGGTAAGTTCCTAGAAATGGAGTTGCTGGGTCAAAGGATCTATTTATAAATTTGATAGGTTCTGCCAAATTGTTCTATAATTTACTTTTTCCCCATATACTCACTAACGATACGGTAAATGTCTAACTTTATGGGTAAGAAGTAGGATCTCATTTTGGTTTTAATTTGCAATTATCTTACTATAAATGAGGTTTGTTCTCTAAACAATGAATTTACTGAGATGAAGTCTTAAAAATTAAATGCATATGCTACAATGTATATACATCTGCATAAATCCTTAATTACTTCCTTTCCCAACTCCTTCAGAATCTTAGTTGTCAGTCAAAGCTAACTTCCAAAAGGTTCACTTGGTGTCAGAGGCCCGTTCTCCCACTTTCTCCCGAGCTAGCTATAACTATTTTTCCTGTCACAGAACCTTGTTTACTTTTTCTGGTTCACCTTCTCACTCTCCAGCTTCCCTCTTGGTGATATCCATGCAATAGATACTCACATAATATCCTGGGTAAACCAATGTCTTGAACAAAAGACTAGCTAGTAGTATCTCCTGCCATAAAGCTTTTCAGAATTTTCTTCAAGATTTTCAGAATTTATTATTGTTACGTAGACACATTGTTTTAAATGTAGGGTCTTTTTTTTTTTTTTTGGCTGTGCCCCTACCACTGAGCTGTGCCCCCAGACCTTTGAATGTGTATTCATGTAGTTTCATCTTCCTTGAATAAGTAGTTTCATCACTTACTATTTGAGCATCATTTTTTGGTGGTGGGATTAGGGAGTATTTTGAGACAGTGTCTCGCCATTGTAGCCCAGACTGGTCTCTAACATGATCCTCCTGCCTCAGCCTCCTAAGTGTTGGGATTATAGGCATGCAACACCAACGCCCAGCTTATAGTGAACATCCATTTATGGCATATCAGCATACCTGCTCAACGGGGAAAGTCTCAGGAAGACACACAGCTGTTGAGGTGCTCAGAAACTTTAAAATGGAGAGAGGAAGTGGGAGGGGGTGGGGGTTGGGGGGAGAAATGGCCCAAACAATGTATGCACATATGAATAAATGAATTTTAAAAAAAAGAAACTTTAAAATGGGAAACTCAGGTCCCTAAGCTGAGATCTAAGATGGGATAATTAATGTAGGCTAAGGTCAGATGCACCTGAGGAAGAAAAGTTTGTTACAATAACCACTCTTAAGAATCAGTTATGTGGCAAAGTTTTATTTTTGAAGTAGCATAGTATTCATATTATTTATACCTTTTTATATGCCATAAATGTAGCATTTTAAAATTTAAAGATATATTACAGAGAATGTTAGTCCTGGAAAGGAGTCCTAATATAAACCACACACTGAGAATGAAGAAATGATAGTTCCACACTGACATTTGTCCCTTTTACCCAGCACTTGGTGATGGCTGCTTAGTCTGGTTCAAACAATCCATGAAGAACCAAGTGAGTGCTTTCTTCTACCCACAGATAAAGTTTATTTAGTGAGAAAGGAGTTAATATTGAATGGCTACTATGTGCTATGTACTCTGTTAGGACAGTGGAGCAGATTCGAGTTGACTAACTTGTAAAATGGTGTCCAGGAACTTACTTTATGATTCTCATATGCTAATTCATTCATTTGATGCCCAATTTGTTCAGTTGCATGAACAGTGTAAGCTGAGGTTTGCTCTTCTGAAGACAGTTTCAGAATTAACTCATGGGACACACTGAGCTACAGCCTGGCAGGAATGGAAGCACAAGTTCAAAGGTGTCTGCTTGCTTGTCTGTGAGAACTGCTGACAACTCCCACTGGAGTGTAACCATGCTATTTTATACCTAGTAACCCACACTGACAGACAGATCAAAAAATACAAGGACTATTTGGTAGCTTTGAAAGAAATAAACAAAATGGGTAAAACTTATTCAGCCATATGATTTTATTTTCTCCCTTCGACCATAATAATATGATATCCAAATTTGGTTTTAACTGGCGGGTCTGTAAACACAGGCTTATCCATGCTGCTTACAGGCAAGGCAAATGCTGCTTCTTGAAATGGTCCCACCATGGACCCTCTGGTCATCCAACCCAAGTCGCCCTGAAAAACCCAAAAAATGTATGATATCAAGTAACCCTGAAAAGGAAACAGGTCTGCTGTAGCTTGAGGGAACTGCCCAACACGGGCAGTTGTTCATCTGGTCTATTTAGAAGTGGGCTCAACAAACACCATCTACCTCCAGATCGAACACATAAGCACTGACAATACTGCTGGATTTAAGTTAGACACGAAAATGTGCTCGTGCCTAGGTTTAGACGTTGGTGATTCTTATTCAACTGTTCACAAGTTGGACATTTCTTTCTTTCTCTTTTTTGTGGTGCTGGGGATGGGACCCAGGATTTCACACATACTTAGGCAAGCGTTCTACTACCACTGACCTGTAACATCCCCAGCCCCACAAGCTGGCCATTTCTGCTTCTAAGATATAGAAATTGGGTTGGCAGAGTGGCTCACGTGCTACAGCACCTGCCTAGCAAATGCATAGCCCTGAGTTCAAACCCCAGTAACACCAAAAAAGGAAAAAAAGATCTGGAAACCAAGATATGGCTAAAATTAATGGCAGAACACAGAAATAATTCCTGCTTTTGTGTTTCCTCTGTGGAGGACAGATTATTTTCTTTTTTGCAGTGCTGGGGATCAAACCCAGGGCCTTGTGTGCTGGGCAAGCATTCTACCACTGAGCCATACCTGGAGCATAAGAACAGAAGTTTAAATAAGAGCACCATACCCCTTGCCTGGCTTTATCTTCACTATATTGTATGGCCACTTCATTGAATCTCATTCCAGACTTTAACTTTTCCATGGCTTCCATGATTTTGCTGTGTTTTTCACACAAAATGTGTCTGACCTACAAGAAAAAAGCATGTCCATGTAATACTTGGAGACTCAAATGGTTTCTCTCAGTATAGCAGCTACATTTGAGTTGTTCTTGCCAATAAAAAAAAGAACACATTAACTCATGGCAACTGAAACTCATATAGGTCTGCCCCGTTGGGTGCCCACTTCCCATTTCAAGGCATATCAGATCACTGATTTAGATGGAAAACAGGCATTGAGCTGTGGGAATCTCCCATCTTTTATCATGTACTTCAATGGTAACAGTAAGAAACTTAATGGCTGAGTTCTGGTCCCGGAATCCAATCGTAATTTTGCTGTATATTTTTTGTTTTTGTTTTGGCAGTACTGAGGTTTGAATTCAGTGCTCTGTGCTTGCAAGGTAGATGCTCTACCACTTGAGCCACACCACCAATCCCATGGGAACATTTTAAAAATTCCCTTATGTGTACTAAGATACTAACAGTACCTGTGTGCTCTCATAGGGCTGTGATGATTGAGATAGTAAAACTAGCATTCAATAAATGCTGCCTATTATTTCATCACAGTGGGGATGATATGAAAAATCCCACTAGGAAATATTTCTTAACCAAAGAGGCCTACTGTATGAAGCCACCTTACAATTCAACACTTTGAAAAACACCACAGGTAATTTTTCTTTTTAGAGCCAGAGTCTTTGCCATGTAGCCCAGGCTGGCCTGAAGCTAGCAAGCCTCCTGCCTCAGCCTCCTGAGTGCTGGGATTACAGCTGTGTATCACTACATCTGGCTTATGTTGAATATTAAGAATGCTCAAACCTACAAAAGTATCCCATTTGACCTATATTGACATAAAGCCATGGTTTTACAAAAACTATATCCCTAAAAATGATTGTCATAATATGTGTTGGAGGATTTCCCATTTCTCAAACAGCATCAGTTATTTGTTTCACACTGTAGGTGGGTGGGGTAGGGGCTAAAAGTCTTTGCCTTGTAATTTAGAGATAAGCAACCAAGGTTGTCCTTATGGTTAATTACTGAAATTGGTGGGGTTGGAAAGGAGCATGCCCTTAGCCCAGGAATGACTTCCTCAACTAGTGGAGCTACACAGGAGACATGAACACACCAAAGGAAAGAATGCAGAAAACAGGGCTCACAGAGGCAAAGTTCTACAGAATGTGCCCAGTGCTGTTCAGGGAGAGATGGGGTAAATAATCTGGACAGCAGATAAGGCCTGCTGGGGAATGAGAACAGCTCATTAGACCTCAATTTGATGTGGCTACAACAGCTTCTGGACTGCCTCTTTCTGCTTCCACACTGAAAAAAGCAAATTTCTGACTCAGTATCTAGGAATGTGCATGTGGTACTCAGGATCACAGAAAGGGGACATTAACCACCATCTTGTAAATGAACTAAACAAGTATTCTGGGTTAGACAATGATTTGTAGTACATGTGGAGCTGTTTAAGTGTGATGACCAGCTGTAACCATCGCGTATTGGAAGAGAGGAGCCACAGACAAGAGTTTCAGTTATGCGCAAACAGGGGAGTCAAAGCCGTGGAGTGGATGGAACTATCCAGTGAGGCAGTGCAGAATGAGAAGAGGAGGGAAGAAAGCTTAAGACAACCTTGGAGAATGTCAGTGCGTAAGCAACAAAGAAAGACGCTCAAAAAGCATAATAAAAAGGAAAGGCCAAGGAGGTAGGGGAGAAAGGTATCAGAAACCAGGCAGAAAAAGAAGGGCTGGGAGTGTGGCTCACTCGTAGAGTGCTTGACTATCATGTATGAGGTCCTGGATTCCATCTCCAGCACACACAAAACAAAACCAAAAAGCTGAGGCAGAAGAAAGTTCAAAGGAGGAAATAGTCAACAGGATTAAGTGCTACAAAGAAATTAGATAGAAAGTACAGTGCTGGGATTGTAGCTCAGTGGTAGAGTGTTTGCCCAGCATGCACAAGACACTGGGTTCAATCCCCAGCACTCCAAAATTAAATAAATATAAATAAGAAGTCTTAATTTAATAAAAAGGGGGGGGGCTGAGGTATGGCTCAAGCGATAGAGCACCTGCTGCACAAGTACAAAGTCCTGAGTTCAAACCCCAGTACCACCAGAGAGAGAGAGAGAAAGAGAGAGAGAGATTAGAGAAGTATAATAAATTTAGCAAAAAATTATCAATGACTGATTGTAGACCTTACCAAAAGGAGTTTCAGAAGTAGAGAAGCCAGGACATAGTAGGAGACTAAGGAAGCAGCAGGAAGTGGGAAGGTAACATGTAAGACGGGGACTCTCATTTAGTTTGAAAAGGAGGAGAAAGGGCTCTAGTTAGAGGAAAAAGGTAGATGTATACTTTAAGAAACATTGAGCATATTTTCAGGATGAAGGTAAAGATCCAGTAAAGAGGAAAATGTGGAAGACAGGAAAGGAACAATAAATGAAGGACGAAGCCCTGGTATACACAGTGTTGTTTGAGAAATTAACTTTATAGAAGAAAGGTGGCTGGGTGCCAGCAGCTCATGCCTATAATCCTAGCTACTCAGGAGGCAGAGATCAGGAGGATCACATTTCGAAGCCAGCCCCAGCAAACAGTTTGTGAGTCCCTATCTCAAAAAAAACCCCATCACAAAAAGGACTGATGGAGTGGCTCAAGGTGAAGGCCCTGAGTTCAAACCCCAGTACTGCAAAAAAGAAAAAAAAAAAAAAGAAGGAACAGCTGGGCTTAGTAGTACATGCCTATATTTCTAGCACTTGAGAGCTTAAGGCAGGAGGACTGAGAGTTCAAGGCCAGCTTGGGAGGGAGGGAGGGAGGGAGGGAGGGAGGGAGGGAGGGAGAAGGAAGGAAGGAAGGAAGGAAGGAAGGAAGGAAGGAAGGAAGGAAGCAAAGTGAGGAGATAGGAGATGTGAGTGAGGAAACTTTGTTGATAGGGGCTGAAGGCCAAAGAGTTCCTGACTCCTTATGAAAATATTAAAAAATTAAAAGCTCATTATGTTAAAGAAATTAAATTACACCAATTATTTAATTCAATCAATAACTAATTACATTATTATAAAAATATTGTGAGCTGGGCATGGGTGGCTCACACCTGTAATCCCAGCTATTTAGGAGGCAGAGATTAGGAGGATTATGGTTCGAAGCCAGCCCAGGCAAACAGTTCATGAGACCCTACGTCGAAAATGCCCTTCACGAAAAAGGGCTAATGGAGTGGTTCAAGGTGTAGACCCTGAGTTCAAACCCTCGTACAGCAAAAATAAAAAAAAACTAAAAGAAAAATCCTCAGGCATATAGGTATGTTTGTTGTTCCCTCTGCCAGAAACACTTTCCCCTAAAATCTTAGCATGGCTGGCTCTCACTATTCAGAAGTCCTGAGCCCTCTTCTCTAAGGTAGCAACCCCAGCCCCTGGAAGCCTTGTTTATATCCTTTGGAGCCCTTCCCAGGATTTCACATTGGACTTGTTGAGTCAAAGTATATGTGTCTTTCTCGTTTTGATAGAAACTGCTTGTTTCTCGGCCGGGGCAAACTGTTCGAGATACCCTATCTTGAAAACACAAAATAAGTCTGGCAGAGTGGCTCAAGTGGTATAGCGCCTACCTAACAAGCATGAGGCCCTGAGTTCAAACCCCAGTACTCCTAAAAAAAAATCTTGTGAAAATAATAAAAATATTTAAAACTTATCAGGTACTTACTATTTGCTATTTGCTTTATATGCATTATCTCATTAAATCCTCTCACCAGCCCTATGAGACTAGATGGGTGTTTCTTGACTGGCAGGATGTGGAATTTGCAGAGACCCTAAAGGCCAGAGTGTCCCAGGGTCCCTCTGAAACACTGGACACTACCCAGCTATCCTTCAACAGGTGAATGGTTCCAAATCATGGAACACTACTCAGCAACACAAAGGAACAAATTACTGATATACACAATAACCTGAATGAACTCTCCAGAGAACTAGGCTGAGTGAAAAATCAATCCCCAAAGGTTAAATATTATAAGATTCCATTCACCTAACACTCTTGAAATGGTAAAGTTACAAGGTGGAGAAGAGATTAGCATGATGCCATGGGTTAAGAAGGTGGTAGAGGGAGGGGCAGGAGGGAAGTGGCTGTAGTTACAAAAGCGTAACAGGTGGAGTTGCAAAATGTAAGATGGAGGCCTAGGGGGTGAAGCTCAGTGGTACAGCACTTGCCTAGCATGCACAAGGCCCTGAGTTTGATCCCCAGCTCTGGGAAAAAATGTAGATTGGAAATGGGGTGATAGAAATGTTCTGTATCTTAGCTTTATCAATAGCAATATCCTGGCTATTCTATTGTAACACAGCCTTCCTTGTAAGATGCTACCATTGAGGGAAATAGGGTAAAAGGTTCATGTATTATTTCCCCACAATTACATGTAAACCTACAATTATATAAAAATAAAAGGCTTAATAAACATTTTAACTCTTCCAGGCTCAGTGACTCATATCTATAATCCCAGCTACTCAGGAGGCAGAGATTAGGAGGATAAAAGTTGGAAGCCAGCTCCAGCAAATAGTTCATGAGATGCTATCTCAAAAAAAACCTACCACAAAAAAGGGCTGGTAGAGTGACTCAAGGTGTAGGCCCTGAGTTCAAACCACCAGTACCGTTAAAAAAAGCCCAAAAAGGTGGGTAGAACAGCTTATATCATGTCACATTCTCTCATTCTCGTTTTCTCTGTTTCTCTCATTCCCAAAGCCTGGTACGAATGAGGACAGATGTCACAAAATCCCTACTGAATGAATGAATCAAACTATAGGATCCTGTATCCTGACTGTAATGTGGAAATCGCCTTGTTAGGTAGCACTAAGTAGTATAGTTCTGTTTGCAGATTAAATTTCATCATGGCGGACACTCCTCTGGGACTAGGTTATGTAGTTCAAGTAATTATCGGCTCCCACCCCACTGTCATGGTCAGGGTCTGGCCTGTAGCTCACCACTGGGGGAGTTTTTTGATGAGATCTGCGCCCTCACCTAATTACTCAACAGAGCTGCCTTTAACAAGTATCTAAATTCTTGATTTCATAAAGTGTATCTTTTTCCAAGAAACACCTCACCTAATTATCAGAGAGATTCAAGTTACTACACTTATAGGAACAATACTAAGAGTGTGAAGCAATTCTGGATATCTGACAAAGCATTTGAAAAATATTTAAAACGAATTGCTTATTGTAAGTGAGGCTGGTCTTTATTTTCCAGTTCTGTGTCCACTTGCTTTTACATTAGTGTCAGGTTAGTGTCTTAGATAAGAGTGAGTTAAACATACTGTATTTTCTATATACCAACATATACATATATACACACATATATAATTTATACTGAATATGAAAAAAGGAACAAGTGAGTTAACTCACCTTTACTGCATTGCCACCACCTTTGGGGCCCTGAGCCTTCTTGTCAGCACTGTCACTCCCAGACGCTGCACCCCCTTTGGAGAAGAGATGACAGGTTCTTACTTAAAACTGCACTTTGATATTTACAGAAAGGCCCAACACACAATCCGCGTTCATGCTGCAGTCACAGCACTAAATTTGTGCTCTACATAAATACTTCATGGAAAATGAACATATAAATGCGTGTATTCTAGATGAACAAGAGTTCCAGAAGACTGATCCAGATTCTCTAGACCCAATTTCAAATCCTGCCTTCTAAGGACAAAGCCTCAAGCTTTTTACAACTCCTAATATGTACTGCAACTATGAATTTGAGCACTCACACAGTTCCAATAAATAAAATCTCCAAGAATACATTTCGAATATATTTGGCTGAAGAATATATTCATGTCCAAATTCCTGGAGCCTACTACATTGCCTATTGACAGCTTCCTAGAAAAAGTCGTTGACATTCAGATTAACAACCACTGGCAGCACCTTGCGTTTTAGCAATGTGTTATTTACTACTGTTAACTTCTGTGTCAGAGGCAGCATCCATACTATTAGGGGATTACAGCTGGACTGAATACTCAGCTCAATAGACATTTCCCAAGCAACTACTAAACTCCAGGCATTGGGGTACAAAGGCTTGCTTCAGGAACTCAGGTTTCAGCGAGGAAAACAGATCCCTTCCAGAGGCTACAGCAGGTGCAGAGTTATGGATTTGGCGGGGGCTGTGGAAACAGAGGGACAGTTTAGCCAGCTAGGAATTCTTGCTGGGTAAGCAGAAGCTGACTAGCTGAAGAAAGGGCAGGATGACCCTCTGGCATGGGGAAAGCACAGTGCATGTAGGACACTGTGTGGCTGAAGCCAAATTTGATGTGGAAATGCTATGAGATAAGCCTGCCTAGGGTAAGGGGCTGAGGGTCAGGGCATGGGGGGCTTTGGCCCCATTAAGGAACTTGGATTTTTTTTTTGCAATGCTGAGGATGGAACCCTGGGCTTTGCCTATGCCAAGCAGGGGCTTCTACCACCGAGCTACATCCCTAGCCTGGAATTTGGAATTTATCTTAGAAGTAATAGAGAGTCACGGAAAAGTTTTAAGCAGGAAGCTCCATCTTTCTTGTTTTAGTACAAATAGAGCATCCCTAACCTGAAAATCCAAAATGCTCCAAAATCCCAAACTTTTTGAGCATTTCAGATTAAGGATGCTCTGGTCAAGTCTATGCAAATACTCAAAAATCCATGAAACTCTGAAATCTGAAACACTTCTGCTGGCAAGCATTTTGATAAGGGATACTCAACTCTGTCTCCAAATAAATGTCCAGTTTAACTGGAAACTCAAAATACCAATCAGCAAAAGCCTAAGAAAATGTTACTGCCCAAAGAGTTTCAGTAAGCCGGACTCTTAAAGGGGCTTGCGGAATAGTTACTCTTGAACGCTGACACCTTCCTCACCCCTCCTGGATGCTGTCATCTGCTTGCCACCTCACTCCTTTGACTTCCCAAGGGACTTGGCATCAACTTTGGACTTTCTCTCTACCCTCACTCCTGTCTTCATCTTGGGTGACCTCGCTATCTGAGTTGAGTAATCTCACCAAAGACCAAATCTCACACTTCTGGATCTCCTTCCCAAATGCCCATGCTCCCTACTCCTGCCCACTGCCTCAGGTGCACATGACAAAACTGAGCCGCTCACAACTAGTGAGTGGTTCAGCCTCTGCCTGCCACCTCTGACTCACCCAGCCTCCTTGTACCTCATTCCAACACTGCCTCTTTGACTTCATGGACCACCACAAGTCCATCAACCCTGCTAAGTTCCCTTAGGCCATCACTTTACCCTCCTTCCCCAGTCTGACCCCACACCTGACCATCTGAATTGCTATCCTACTGTAATTGCCCACCAAAACCTCAACCGTGGCGCACAGCTGAACCTGGCTTTTTTCAGGTACCAGGTTTTAAGTGATGATTGTAGCTCTCTCTTTTACAAATTCATGGCCTCCATTTGTCAGGCTCCCGCTCCACAGCACAATTCTCTCATTTGTGTTTCGTTCATTCCCTTTCCCACTGCCATATTCCAAACCTTTACCACTCTTAGGACCCCTACTGAGTCCCTCTCCACTCAGTCTTAAAACCACCCTTGCCTTCTGCCTTAAGCAACAAGGTCAGCAAGCATCATCCCACACACGGGGCTCCATCTCCTATTCAAAGGCCAATTGGTCAGTCAGTCCTGGGCTCCATCTTCTCAGAAATCGAGCTCCTCTGTACACTTACCTCTTTTAATCTTTCTGATCCTTTACCTCAGCCTTACTCTCAATCTTGCTCCATTCCAAAGAAACAAAAGAAACCTCATCCTCCTCTGTCTACCATTCTATTTCCATGACTTTGCAATGAAAACTTTCCAGAACAGTCCACACTGTCTCCAACTTACCACCTCTGTCACTTCTCTAGTTACTGCAATCTAGTTACTTTCTCACTCCACCGAAACTCTTCATACCCAAGGCCAGTGCCGATTTCCAAATTTGAACAATCTTGTTTTCAGTACTCATCTTATTCGGTGGCTTTGTTGTGCTCCATAGGCCACAGCCCCTCCCTTTTTCTTGAGACCAGGTCTCAGTATGTCACCCAGGCTGGCCTCAAACTCATGATCCTCCTGCCTCAGGTGTGTGCACCTCACCCAGCCCCATGCCCTCTTCATTAAATGTGCTGGGTCCTTGGTCCCTGAACATCATTTTTCTGTACTCGCTTTGTCTTTCTTCTGGGTTTCCACAACCACCACCATCTCTCACCAGGATGACTCTAACCGTTTCCTTAAAGCTCCTCCTGGCCCTTAGTGGACTTTAGCATCACATCTGGCACTCTCTGATTTAGTCTGTTTCTGTCTTAGTTCTCACACGTCTTGAGTTTTTGCTCTAGCAACACTCCACCGCACAAACCGGGCCGTTTCTGCTTTTGCAGCTGGACTCTCTGTTGGATATGCTCTACCCTCTCTCCACTGCCCAGCTTATCTCCAGGGAGTCTTCCCTTCCCTGTTCCCAGGCTAGAGAAAGCACTTCCCTGGCTTCCGTAACAGCACGTACACATCTCTCAACACTGCATTTATGCTTTTATCTTCCATTCCCCACTACTTCAGGAGCTCATTAATGGTAAATAAGATCTGTGTCTTATTTTTATTTAATATTTACTTTTTGGCAGTGCTGTGGTTTGAACTCAGGGCCTTGTGCTAAATGGTCTTCTTGAACCTCGCCGCCAGCCCTTTGTTGCTTTAGTTTATTTTTCAGATAAGGTCTCCCACTTTTTGCCCAGGGCCGGCCTGACTTCAATTCTCCTACCCCCGCCTTCCACATAGCTGGGATTACAGGCGTGAACTACCATGCCTGACTGTGTCTTATTTTAGTATTCTCAGAACATAGCACTGCCCAACACATTTGTTTTCAATGGATGAAATGCTTTACGCGTTAAAAGGAACCTTAAGGACCGTAATTAATATAGACTTCTTTTTATTGCTGGTCTCTGATAAGATTTTTTTTTTGCAGCGATGGGAATCGTACCCAAGGCCTTGCAGTGCTAGTCAAACGCTCTATCACTGCGCTACATCCCCAGCCCTGATAAGATTAAATTTTACGTCTGTAATATTCCCTTGAAATAGCAGCCCCAAGTCATCACCTCGAGCAACCATTCCTACTAGCTTCTACTACTCACCAGGATGGTCCCTGCACCATACCCCAATACGCCCGCCCATCTCCAGGGGCCTTCCGCACTTATTCTTTTTAAGCTTCACCGGAAGAACTCTGGCCAAAATCCATAGCAGCTCTGTGAGATCACTGGACGCCTGCTGCCTCCGTTTTGGAGAGTTACCTGTCTGTTCCATCCCCTGTCCTCACCCGTCCCCACTCTCCCTGATTGTTTTTTCCGCTCTACCTTTCCCGGCTTTTCCAGAACCACTTTTTCCTTTGGGCGGCATCTTCTAAACTTGCAGTTGAACTCTCAACTGTTCCCGTAGCCGTAAAAAGCCCCCTCAAGCCTCATGGGTATGTCCTAAACAATGCCTGACAAAAGCATTGCAATCGACCCCTTTTTGCTGCAGTTCCGGAAGCAGGCATAGCTTGGGGCATACCCGGTCCTTTGGTTCCTGGACCAATGGGGCTGAAGATATTTGACCAATAAGGAGCTGGGGGCCAGGCGGAGGGGTGAACACAAAGGTAGTGTAAGGGCGGGAAGCTAGCCACTGCGCTTTTTGTTAGCTTCTTTCACACGCCCGCCCTAGTACCCGCTTCTTTGCTCCCCCTCTTCTCCTGCCCACTTCCTCGACGCGTGCGTAGTAGGAGCTGTGGGCCTCTGCAGTCCCTTGGCGTGGGATCTGACCAATCCCGCGGGGCCATCAGACAAAGGGAAGCAGGCAGAGCTGTAGTGGCGGCCGTCGTTCTGCCGTTCCCTCCCACACACAGCTCTGCCTTCCCTAGCAGTTTTCATTTTGTAATTTTGTTTTGCAGCTGTAGTTGATTGAGTTCAAGAGGCGGTTTGAAAAAAAAAAGCCTGTCACCTCTCTGCCACTTGCAGAATTCTGTCTTGGAGAAACATTGGAAGCAGTCTGAATGCTCCTAGTAGAGTGCTGTTTAAAAAAATGTTTCAACCACGCAAAACAGAATTAGTGCTATTTAATGATTGCAACACTGTGTGTACAGATAGGAAAAATAGCCTTAAGGAAGGTTACAGACCAAGATGCAGAATGACTTTTAAGTATATACCATGTACTATATGATACATTAATTTAAAAGGCAGGCAGGCTGCATAGTACAGCAAAATGTGAGTACTAGTGTTAGTTCTTACAGGTCGCTGTGTATGTGTGTGTTTTCCAAAACTCCTATAATGAAGTAATTAGAAGCATGGATTCTGGAGCCACATTTTCTGTTTCCAAATCCCTGCTCAGCTCTGTGACCTTAAGGAAGTTACCTCACCTCTTTGGCTCAATATCATCATCTGTGAAATGGGGTTGATGATAACTGTACCTGTTCACAGGGTGTTAAGAGAATTAAACAACTTCATACTTGCAAAGCATATAAAACGATGACTAGCTTGTAGTTAGCTAAATTTGAATTACCTTAAGTAATGGGTGGTTTTTAAAATACGCAATTTTCCCCCTTACCCACACCCCCTCTTTCCACCAGTAATTTGTATCTAATGTTGGCTTTTCCTGTTTCCCATGAGATAACTGTCCCAGCCCACCACTAGCAAGCCAGAATGTGTAGTTCCTCCAGCTCAAGTTTAGTGTTTGTTTTTGAAGTGTTGGTGATCAAACCCAGGGGCTCATAAATGCCAGGCAAGTATTCTGCCACTGAACCCACGCCAGAGCTTAGGTTTGGGTTTTGCTTTTTTCTTGAGATAGGGTCTCACTGTGTAGCCCAGGGTGGCCTCCAACCATACCTCCTCCTGCCTCCAGAGTGCTTGGGTTAGAGGCCTGCTCCACCAGCTAGGCCAAAGCTTAGTGTTTTTTTGTTTTATTTTGTTTTTGGTACTGGGGTTTGAACTCAGGGCCTACACCTTGAGCCACTCCACCAGCCCTTTTTTGTGATGGGTTTTTTTTGCGATAGAGTCTCGAGAACTATTAGTCAGGGACTGGCTTCAAACCACTATCCTCTTGATCTCTGCCTACTGAGTAGCTAGGATTACAGACATGAGCTGTGGGGCACTTTGCCAGACCTTAGTTTTTGAATGCATTCTTTCCTGGACTTGGGGATGTCTCATGCCCAAACCAGGAGGGCATGTATTTCTGAGATTGTGTTACAGGAAAACTGGTCCCCTGGCCTCAATGTCCCAAATTCACAAATAATGAGAGTAGGGTTTTTGAGGAAAAGGAAATAATGTTTATTATTTGTCAGACGAAGAGGAGGACAGGGAGAATCAACCTCTCAAAGCTCTGTCTCTCACTTCTGCAAGAAAATATCTGCTTTTTAAGCGAGAGCACACAGGGGAGGGGTGAGGATAGGTAAGACACCTAAAAAACTAGCTAGCATTTGTTGCCCTTAACGCAGAGAAACTAAACCAGATACCTTAAAAGCAACTGAGGCCAATAGGAAAAGGGGACCAGGAACTAGAGAAAAGGTGAGATCAAAAAGAATTAACCTAGAAGGTAACACCCACGCACAGGAAATTAATGTGAGTCAATGCCCTGTATAGTTGTCCTTATCTCAACCAGCAAAAACCCTTGTTCCTTCCTATTATTGCTTATACTCTCTCTACAACAAAATTAGAAATAAGGGCAAAATAGTTTCTGCTGGGTATTGAGGGGGTGGGGGGGAGAGGGAGGGGGCGGAGTGGGTGGTAAGGGAGAGGGTGGGGGCAGGGGGGAGAAATGACCCAAGCCTTGTATGCACATATGAATAATAAAAGAAAAAAAAAAGAAAATATCTGCTTTTTAAAGGGGAGTTCAGGGGCTCAGCTTGACTATGTGACGAAATTCATGTGCCAGAATAGCCTTGGTTCTCCAGGTGTCCGGCGCCGCATCTCCCAAGCTGTATGTCTTGGCTGGCAGGTTTACTGGTCTGACAGTCAGAGAGAGCTAAGGGCCAGACCTGTAATATCCCAGCACTTGGGAGATGGAGGCAGGAGGATCAAAAGTTCAAGACCAGCCAGGTGCAGGTGCTCATACCTGTAATCGTAGCTACTCGGGAGGCAGCAACCTGGAGGATCATGGTTAGAGGACAGCCCAGGCAAATAGTTCGAGAGACTCCGTCACGAAAATACCCAACACCAAAAAGGGCTAGTGGAGTGGCTCAAGTGGCAGAGCACCTGCATAGCAAGTGTGAGGTCCTGAGTTCAAACTCCAGTACTGCCAAATAAATAAATAAAGTAGTTTAAGGCTTGCCTTGGTTACATAGAGAGACTATCTTGAAAGAAATGTTTTTTAAAGCTAGCGTGAATGGCTGAGGTGCCTGGCAAACGCTTTGTGCCTGGAACACGGCATGCCAGCAGATAGTAACAGCGACAATCATACCAAGCGGGCCTGTGAATGAGGTTCAGTGTGTCCAAGGCAGTCCTACAGGCCAGCGGCTCTAAGGAGGAAAAGATGGACATAGGTCTGCTGTGGGTCAAGGTCATGAACTCTTTCAGGCAGTCAGATACAAAATTATACATGATCTCTACTATGCAGTATGCAGTACGCAGATGGGTCAGGAGCTATGATACCGTTTTCAATTTCGGAATGTGAGTTTACGACTCACTTTCATGTTCTGCTTATATTGTGTTCTATCTCTTGACATGTATTTTTTTTGTTCAAGAAAAAAAGGCAGTAAATGTTATTTGAGAAATCAACAACAAAAAAGGAAGCTTGTGTACAGGGTTGAGTCTGCACCAGCCCGTGGAGGCCCACTGTGGAGGATTCTGAATCAGAGTGACAAATTAACTGGAGAAGGTGGGGGGGGGAGTGGAGAGGAGGAAGATTCGGCTTTGAAACCATGGTAACCATGGGCTGGTGTGCCAGTGACTCAGAGCCAGTAATGGCTGCTGGTTGTGTTTTCTAATTATCTGCTCAGACTGAGGCTCCTACGCATTACTTAGAAAAAGGAAGGTCAGGAAGGGAAGCTGTCAGCCATCTTCCCAGGACAGAGGCTCACAAATCTTGGCCCAGAACCCCCCCCCAAAAAAAGCCCCGCAGGCTACCCTTTCTTTCCTATGTGAGATCCCACTGGGGCTTATTCTCAAAGGCAGAGCTTGGAGTGACAAAACCCAGAGATCTAGTTGACTCCATTCACAGGGGTCATGCATAGGAAGCCTCTGGGGTAGAAAAGGGTCGCCTTTGGAAACTGAAACCAGTACCTGGAGGCTGACCTCCTGCAGAATAGCTGCCCAGCCTGGCACATGGGGCAGGTAGATTGTTGAACTGTCAGTGTGGCCAAAGAATTTTCTAGCCCACCTTACACTATTGTAACAAGTCTGATGTGAGCTAATGAAGCTTTGAGTGACTGGTTTTTCAAAAAAGGATTTGGAGAAGACTCCATCCATGTTTGCCCAGCATTGCCTAGGCAAAATAACTATAGTTTCTGGAAAACACAATTACTCTAAGATCTAGGGAGGTGGGTTTTTTCAGAGGCAGAGTTCATTTGAGACAGTAGAAACAGTCACCACAAATGGCAAATGTGCTGCAGGCCAGGAGCTTACTCTTGTTGATCTCTTTCAGGCTTATCTTTTCTGGGCAGCCCTGGGATTTGAACTCAGGGCTTCCTGCTTGTTGGGAAGGCACTCTACTGCTTGAGCCACTCCACCAACCCTATCACTTTTAGTTTTCACAACAGTCTTACTGGCAAAATACCACTATTGCCACTGTAGAGCTGTAGAAACAGAGAAGTCAAGAAATGTGCCCAAGTTTTCCCAGTTAGCCAGGCTCTGTGGTGGGGCTGGGCTTTGCCCCTCCAGGCTGGTAGTCTCCAGTTCCTTTGTTTTCCATGCATGTTCACCAAGTCAGCTACCAGGGGACTCTGTACAAGGGCCCCAGGGTCAAGTATGCCCCAGCAAAGGACATGAATAAGTTAGCCACAGAGGCCCAGAGGCCAGGAGAAAGAAGCCCCCAGAAATGGAGGCACTGTAGCCAAGGCAGAGAGAGGAGGCTTTCGGGACCCCCACCTTCTAGCATGGCTCTCCGTGTCCGGTGGACTCTGCTTCCTAAACTAAACGGTGCTTCTCTCTGCACACATTTTTTATTTTTTAGATAGGATCTCACATGTTGCCCAGGCTGGCCTTGAATTCCGTGGCTTAAGTGATCCTCCCACCTCAGCCTCCCAAGTAGCTTGTGAGGCAGGCTAAAATTAGGGAAAGTTCAGGACTTACAGGAACTTAATATTACTTTTCAGATTGACCATGCCCTGTCCCAGGGACCGCCCTCACCTGGCAGGAACGCCCATGCCCCGCCCCACTCATTGATTATTGGATGAGAATCTCCTCGTTCCTCCCTTCGCATGGATTAGCGTAAATTTTGAACACACCTGGAGAAGAGGCACACTCTCGGCCTCCAGATTCCACCT